TATACAGGTTACCAGGTTTAGCATGCTTCCCTGTCTTTCAGGAGGAAAATATTATTTTTTAATTAGTGTACCACCAAGTTCTGGGTAAGAAGGACATATTTTCCCCCCCTTTCATTAGAAACGATCACTTTGGAGATGGCTCAGACCAACAAGCAGGACCTACCTTTCTCAGAAAGTTTAACTTGAGGTAAAGACTAGCCTGCTCTGAGCCTTATTCCCATCAAATTCCACCCCAAACGGCGGATGCGCTGCCCGCAAAGCGACAGAGCCGTCACGTTGCCTGAAGTGCAGCAGGCTATCTAGGCAGATTAGCGCTAAGCCGAGAGGCGGCAGAACAGCCATTATAAAAGGGAGCAGCTAGCAGAGCGCTGGGTGGGCCGAGAATCGCAGCGCGGACAGCGTGCCAGGGAGGCTCAGCTCCAGCGCAGAACGACTCTTAACAGTTTCTCTTCAGGGTAGTTTCATTAGAGGCCAAGATGGAGAAGCTCTTGCACAGAGTGCAGGTCTCTGAAAGCGAACGAAATTTAAAAAATATCATCATAATTTCCATGAAAGGGACAGGGAAAGTGCAAGATTTTAATATCCAGAAGGGTAGGTATGCCTTTATTTAATTAAAGGCAACTTCATCCGTGCTGTCAAGTGTGCTACTCCAGAGATCCAGCCTGGGAGTTGGCAATATGTTTACACTGGTTATAACTGTGAGATATTTTTAAACAGAGCAGAAGGAACTGTGCAGTGTCCTTGCCCGACACAAGCAGTGCATTTTCAGAAGCTTAGGAAAGTATTTTTGCCCTTGGAAGGACACGTGCATATTTTAGCCCTTATTTCCAATATTAGAAATCATATTTTCCTGTAAAAAGTGCTTTGAACTAACAGAAAGTAGACACAGTATCCTACAGTCCAGCTTGGCTTTCATAAAGAAGCTGCGGTGGGAGACCCCAGGAGACCCCGGCTTCCTTCCTCCCTCTGCTAACAGTTTCCTGCATCGTCTTGCCAACTGGCTATTTCTGTGTTCCCCATTTCTTTGCATAGCAGGAAAATGACAGGACATCTCCTGGGAGCGTTGTGCGACTTCAGTCATTTGCTTTAAGGCCCTGGGACGAAAGGCTTCGTAAAAGTCCAGTGATAAATATAGCCAAGATTGCAACTT